AACTCACACGTATAGATATATATGCACATAAATATGTATATGTATATAAATATATATCTCTATCACCTATAAATCTAACATGATAGCTTATCTGTACCCCTTATTTTTATGTCTGGCTTTTTTCTCTTTATGTTTTTAGTTATTCATTGACACTGCTGTCTTTGCTTCTTTGTTTGAAGTATCACTATCACTATTCTCTCCATCTCCCCCTCCCCATAAAAAATAAATGCCCTGCTTACATACAAGGTACTTCTGGGGGGTATTTTTCTTTAAAAATTTCCCCCAAATCATTATTTATTTATTTTTACTATTCTTTTTAAAAAATTTTTTGAGTTCCAAATTCTCTTCCTTTCTCCAGCTCCTTCCCCACCCGTTGAGAAGGCAAGCAATATGATATCAATTATGCATGTGAAACCACATAAAACATTTTCATAGTAGCCATGTTGTAACAACAACAATAACAAAAAACAATAAAAATAAAGAAATTGAAAAAAGTATGCTTCAGTCCAAACTCAGAGTTGCTCAATTCTGCCTTTGGAGGTGGAGATCACTTTTCATCACAGGTCCCTGGAAATTGTCTCAGATCATTGTCTCGATCAGAGTAGCTAAGTCTTTCACCATTGGTCATCACTGCAGTAGTACTGCTACTATGTATGTTGCACAGCATTTCAAAGGGAGAGAGAAGGCAGGTGAGGGGTCAGAGATTTCAAGCTATAAGGGACCTTAAAGGCTGTCTAGTCTGAACCTCTCCCATTATGGATGAGGAGGCTCTGGACCCAGAGAAGTGGGCCTCGTATCTTACCTAAAGTCATACCTATGAGTAGAAGAGCAAAGACCTGACCCCTGGCCCCCTGACTCTGAATCTGGCACTCTCTCCAATGCAGCATGTTGTATCTTAAAGAAGGTGCGTGAGCTGTGCTGGGCCATAGAGTGTCATGTAGAGTAGAAAGCCAGGACAGGAAGGCTCGTCCGCATGTAGTGTAAATCAAGGTCTGCTAGGAGGTCTTCAAGCAGAGTCAGTTCCAGGATGTGAGGGAGTGAGTGCTGAGCTTGGAGTCAGGAACACCCGAGTTCAAATCTTGTCTCAAATATTTAACAGCTGCAAGATGTTGGACAAGTTGTGCTCTTTTTTTCTCATCTGTTAAATGGAATATCTATAAGAATAGCGCCTACCTCAGAGGGATGCTGTGAGGATCAAAGGTGACTTGTTTAAGCTGTCTCAACCTGTTTCCTCAACTATAAAATGGTAATAATAGAAGCTACATCCCAGAGTTGTTGTGAAGATCAAATCAGATAATATACTTGAAGTGGTTTCTAAACCCTAAAATGTTCTATTATTGTGATCAGTGTCTTATCCTTCTACTAGACCATAAGCTCCGTGATTATAAGGGTCCATGTCTTATAAAAAGCTCAAGGTAGATGGCACAGTGACCAGTCCTGGAGTCAGAAAGATCTGAGTTCAAATCCAGTTTCAAACACTTATTAGCTGTGTGACCTTGGACAAGTCACTTTCTACTCCTCCTTATACCTTTATTGATGGAAGGACAGTCTCACTGAAGGGAAAATAAGAATGGGAACCAGGGGGCAGCTGCATGGCTCAGTGGATAAAGCACCAGCCCTGGGTGCAAGAGGACCTGAGTTCAAATCCGGCCTCAGACACGTAACACTTACTAGCTATGTGACCCTGGGCAAGTCACTTAACCCCATTGCCTATCAAAAAAAAAAAAAGAACAGGAACAAGGGATTCAAGCATCAAGCATTCAGTGCCAAAAAAGAGGCTCATACCTGATATATATGCCCTTTCAACAAATGTGTGATTTAAAAACATGAAAGAGTGTCAACTTTAGACAGTACTCAATATATGACAACCTCAAGAGTTGGGGAATGCAGATATTTCTTTGCTATGTTTAATTTTTAAAGAGTATACCAGGCTAATTATTGGAAAATACTTACTTTACCACTTCCAGATAGCATTATTTTGTCATACTCCTTGTACACATATATAGCCTGAGAAGTTTTAAGTAGCTTTCCAGATTCAATTTAATTAAAATTAATTTTTAAAGGCCAACCGATAAGTTTTTCACAAACAAACTTAAATACAGTTCTAAGAAAAGTACTCTCATAGGTAGATATATTAATTTAATCTATATTCATTTGAAAATGAGCTGGAGAAGACAATGGCAAACCACTCCAGTGTCTTTGCCAATAAACCCTAGAACCAGATCATGAAGAGTGGGATATGACTGAAAAATGACAAACAACAACACGTCTTATAAAAACTTTGCCTCATCTCCAGCACCTAGGAGAGCACTCAGCACTCAGGGGAATTCATAAATAATGTGGGCTTACCTTTATCAGATGTTTTAAGGTTTGCAGCACATTGCCCTCACAGGTACGCCGCAGGATTGATGATGGAGGAGCTTGAGGAACTTGAGTCTTCAAGAAGTTGTGGCTTGTCTGAAGTCATACGTATAATTGTGTCAGAGTTGGTTGAAATCGACTTCTCTTCAGACTCTTGAGTCCAGGGTTCTTCCCAATATACAATCCTGTCCCCTCCTAAATGCACACGGAATAAAATGTATGAAAGAAAGCACTTTACAAAATACGTTCATCACAAGAATGCAGGGAGAGAGGTAATGCATTAGTGTCCTCATTTTATAAATGTGGAAACTGAGACTCATCAAGGTGACATGACGTGTGCAAGGTCACTCACTTGGCAAATGGTAGAAGCCAGATTGGACTTTGGGGGCCTTGCTATTTCATAGGATCATAGATTTAGAGCTTCTCAAGACCTTACATGTCATCATATTGACCACCCTCATTCTTGGGTAATTTGGGTAACTGAGATTCAGAGAGGTCACATAGCAAGTAAATGTCAGAGGTGGGATTTGACCTCTGGTCTTTCTGGCTAAATCTAGCAGTCTATCCACTATGCTGCATACCGTATTGCCTCTGTGGTGTTTTCATGTCTCTGGCTACCCCATTTTCTTAGCTTTGGGGAGGATAGTAGCCCTCCCTTCCTGATTTAACTGGAGATTTTGCCATCAGTCTCTTGATATCACTATAATGTCAAGTTGCTGGTGTCCACACAAATCCCCCCCCTCCCCTCCCTCCCTCTTTCTTCCTCCCTCTTTCTCCCCTTCTTCTCTCCCTCTTTCTTCCTCCCTCTGTCTCCCCTTCTTCTCTTCCTCTTTCTCCCTTCCTTCCTCAATCTCTCTCTCTCTTTCTCTCTCTCTCTCTCTCTCTCTCTCTCTCTCTCTCTCTCTCTCTCTCTCTCTCTCTCCCCCCTCTCCCCCTCTCTTCCTCCCTCCCTCCCTTCCTTCTTCTCCCTGTCTCTCCTCTCTCCCTCCCCTTCTGTCTCTTTCCCTCTCCTCCCTCCCTTCCTATCCCCAATTCTCCCACTTTCTCATCCTTCTCTCCCCCCTTCCTCTCTCTTCCCCTCTTCCCTCTCCCTATCCTTTTCTTCACCCTGTCTTTCTCTCTCTCCCTCTCCTTCTCACCCTCTGTCTTTCTCCCCCCCTCCCTCTCCTTCTCACCCTCTCTCTCCCCATGCTTCTCCCTCTTTCTCTCTCTCCCCACCACCAGTGATTTGGTCTTTAGGACATAGAATTATAGAACAGGAGCAAGAAGAGATCTCAGAGATCATCTAGACCAACCTCATTTTACAGATGAGGAAACTGGGACACAGGAAGGACTTGTCTGAGATCACACAAGCAGATGATATCAAAGGCAGAATTTGGACCCAGTTCCTCTGACACCAGAGCTAGATCTTCCTTTTCTACTTTGCTTACCAAAATGGTGGAGTTCTTAATCTCAAACAGCTTCTTTGTGTCATAGAAAATGAAAAACAAAAAAAAAAACTTTTTTCATTATTTTTATTTCCAAGATTCACAATCTTTGTCACTAAATAGATAACCAAGAAAAACTTCTTAATAGAATAACATGTAAACAATTAAACTGGCTCATTTTGGAAAATCAATAAGGTTTGTTTCTCCTGGAGACCTAGAAATTCAAGAAGTCAGGACATTTAGTGACAGTGATGTTTTCTGGCAAAAGACCTAATTATGATAAAGTATCCTTATTGTTTAGTAGAAAGAGTACTGATCTGGATCTCAGGAGCCTAGGGCCTTGGCTCATTTCTGTCACACAAGTAGCTGTGTGACCTTAATTTAATAATTATAATAATAAATATAATAACAACTATTATTATTATAACAACTAGCATTTATGTCGCACTTCAAGGTTTTCAAAGCACTTTACAAATATCATCTCCTTTGATCCTCATAACAAACAGGGGAAGTAAGTGCTATTGATACCACCACTTTACAGATGAGGAGACAGAAGCAGACAAAAGTTAAATGACTGGCTAAGGATTATATAGCTACAAAATGTCTGAAGCTGGGTTTGAACCCAAGTTAAGTTTCCCGGAATCTAGATTCAGTGTTTACCACTCTGAACATCAACTTCATCATCTGTACAAGGAGGGAATTAGAGTAAGAGGACTCTGACATCTCATCCCACTTGGACATTCTAAGATCCAGAGTAGTTGTGTTAAATCTCGATAAATGGAACTCTAAGGTCAAGACACAATCTCTTAATGGCCAATGTAATACAATGGAAAAAACATCAGATCTGAAATAAAAAAACTAGTATTTTAGTTCTAGATCTGTCACTAACTAGCTGTAAGGCAAATCTAGTCCCCTCTTTGGATCTCAACTTACTCATTTCTAAAGTGAGAAGCTTAGAAAAATGACTTCCAAGAACCTATGACCCTATGACCCTCTTACCTTCTTGAGTATTGGTGTTTTGTATGGATCTCAGCAACTAGAATGACCTCAGGGCTTTGTAGCAAAGTAAAGGCTAGAAACTTGAATGGTGAATAAATAAAGGAATTTGTCTGGGTTGGCACAGCTGTGGAGCACAAATAAAACTTGGCATGTGAAAGCAAGGAAGGGCAAAAAGCTACCGTAAACACCACTTATTTTCTCTCCTCTTTTCAGATCTATCCAATTTTCAAGAGCAAAATGATCTAAAAGGATTACTAGAAAACCTTCAACAAAACATCCAGGCCAAAAAGAGAAAGAATGTAGAAATCATATGGCTGGCTGCAACGGTAAGGTCTTTGTGTCAAGCCTATTCTCTCCTTACCAGAGAGCCCAGGGCCCCAGAGGGAGACCTGGCCAACTTTGGATTGCTGGGGCTCCATGTCTGCTCTGTGGGTCATCCAGGTTGCTTTTATTCTGTCACCCTGACTCTCACCATTGCTACCTACTATACGCCCATCACCGATAAATAAAACACACACACACACACACACACACACACACACATACATACATATATACACACACATGCACACGTACACGCACTTTGCACACACACACGTACACACATAAACACTCTGGGAAACAAGATAAAAAGAATGAAAAATGGAAGAAGGAATGAAAAATAGTAAGTAAAGGTTGTCACTGGGTAGCTGTTCTCTTGAAAATAGTACAGTTGGTATTTTGGACTTAAGTGAAATGTTTCTGAGTACCTTGAGATTAAATTTAGTGCTATGCTAGTATTGCCATCTTTGTCATGAGAGCACAGATAATGGAGAACTAACAATAATATAGGGGCAGCTAGGTGTCATAGTGGATAGAGTATCCTAGAGTCAGGAAGACTCATCTTCCTGAGTTCTAATCTGGCCTCAGATATTTACTAGCTGTGTGACCCTGGGCAAGTCACTTAACCCTGTTTGCCCTGTAAAATGAGCTGGAGAAGGCAATGGCAAACTATTCCTGTGTCTCTGCCAAGAAAACCCCAAATGGGGTCATGAAGAGGCACACAAAACAAGTGAGTACATTCTGACTTCCACCTAGGATGGTTTTCAAAGCCTTCACATAGAGGACCAGCAAAACCCATGACCATTCTGTCCCTTCAATGAGCTATTGTGTGTGGCTATTAATACAGATGTTGGGAGAGAAATTGTTGCTGAGGCATAGATTTCAGGACCACAAGCCTCTTGGGATGGGGTTCTTCCCTTTATGGTGTGCCCCTGGGGAACAAAAAGAGCCTCCTGATTTCTGAGACCTGTTTCATCCTTGGTTTAGATTTATACCAGGCTGGGGTCATGGCAGGAACTGGGAACGGGAATCATCTAGGTAGACCAGGGAGCAGTTTTCTAGCTGTCTGTTGGTAGCCATTCAGAGAATGCTCAAGCACCCATGGGTGAAGCAAAGCATATAACTTTGTGATTTGTCAGTTACCGTGAGAGGTCCTTCTAGAGACTCTTTCATCTGGGACCTACCTCATGCTAGGAAGGGAGGGAAGGAGAAAGGAAGAAAGGAAGGAAGGAAGCAAGGAAGGGGAAAAAAAAAGACATTTATTAGGCTCCTACAGTCAAAGCACTATGCTAAGAAGTGGGCATGCAAATAAAGAAGTATGACATTCCCCACCCTCAAGGAGCACACATTCTACTTGCTGAGAGCCTGAGGGTCACTGTGATAACTGTTGCTTTTTTTATAGCTACTGCACAATATTGCTAATGCAACCCAGAGCTTGGTTTCATAAATCTTAGAACACACTTGATTCCATACTGCACCACTAGCATACATATGAAAACTTGACCTTTTATTTTTTTTTCCTGTTGCCAGACCTTTGATTGTACACAGTATTACTTCTCCCTTCTGGGAAGAGGGCATAGATAATTCAGCAAGAGGCTATATAAAATAATTTACACAGATCGCAGCAAAGGCAAGTAGATTGACTTTCTTGTCATGTCTTCCTTGGGTCCTAAGGAGGAACAACAAAGGGAAAAGCAAGAAACACTCTTTTCAAGGTCTGATTGGAAGTGGCTCCATTGAGCACCCCATTAGATTAGATTAGATTAGATTAGATTAGATTAGATTAGATTAGATTAGATTTTTTTTTTTGAGCAGCAACTGCCTTTTTCTAGTTTCATAGTCACCTAAAATCTTGGTAATTCTCCCAATATCCCAGGAAGGTAGATTATAGTTGTTTTTTCTGTTTTACTAGTAACAAAATGACAATGATAATATTTATTCTACTACTAATAATAACATAAATAATAATTCAGACTCTTATGATGCTTTAATATTTGTCAGGGCAGCTTGGTGGTACAGTGGATACAGTGCAGAGCCTGGAGTCAAGAAGACTCCTTCCTGAGTTCAAATCAGGTCTTAGACACTTAATTGCTTTGTGACCCTGGGCAAGTCACTGAACCCTGTTTGCCTCAGTTTCCTCATCTGTAAAATGAGCTGGAGAAGGAAATGGTAAACCACTCTGTTATCTTTACCAAGAAAGCCCCAAATAGGGTCCCAAAGAGTTGGACATGAATGTTACAAGTGAGCAAAGAAAGAACACAAGTGAAATGCCTGAACAGCAACATTTGTCAGTGTACTTCCCCCAAAACAAGGCCCAGTAGAATGCAAGTTCCTAGCATAATCCATGGCCTGTAGGGGCTTAAGAAATGCTGGTTGACTTGAACAGTGTGGGCTAAGTAGAGCTAATACAATTATCTGCGTCTTATTAATGAAGAAAATGAGGGTAGAAGAACTGAGTTGAGCACAATAGCACCAATGTCAATTTACATGACACCCTTCCTTACCTCTACTTCTTGGAATCCTTAATGCCCTTCAAGGACTAGCAAAAGTGAGACCTCATACAAGAAAGATAACCAAGCATATCTGTGAAGAAGCTTCCCCTAGCCACCATCAGTCTTGGGGGACCCCTTAAACAGGGCTTTGGAAATTTTTTTTTCCTATACATGCCCTTCATCCTTTTTTCATTTTTATTTCCCATGATAGGAATAGAGAAAAAAAATTATAATGTCATGAAATGTATCCTAATGTGTCATGAAAAGTATGATTATGCATCCTTTTCCTTAGGGAAATATCAGTGAATACTACCCTCACCTCCCAGCTGTTTAAGACTCTACCCTCCTCTAAAATTACTTTGTATTTATTTATGTTTTTTTGTATTTACTTAGCCATGTACATATTTTTCCTTTTTAGAATTTCCCCTCCCTTGAGGTCAGAATTGTTTCATTTTTGTTTTCCTGTTCCCAAGACCTACTACCATTCCTGTGACACAGAAGGCATTTAGTAAATGCTTGTTGAATTAATTTGAGTAGAAATGAATTGCCTAACGTCACACTACTAGTAAGTGTCATTAACTCCTTGTAGAACCAGGTCCCTATGCCCGACTTCGCTTCCTCCCACTCTCGCTCACACGTGCTCTCTCTCTCTCTCTGTCTCTGTCTCTGTCACTCTCTCCCTTTCTCTCTTTCTCTCTCCCCCCCTCCTCCCTCTTCCTCCTCTCATTCTCTCTCTGTGTCTCTCTGTCTCTGTCTGCCTCTCTCTGTCTCTCTCTCTCTATCTGTCTTTGTCGCTCTCTCTTTCTCTCTTTCTCTGTATCCCCCCTCCCTCTTCCTCCTCTCATTCTCTCTCTGTGTCACTCTGTCTGTCTCTCTGTCTCTGCCTGCCTCTTTCTGTCTCTTTGTTTCTATCTCTGTCTGTCTGTCTCTCTCTATCTGTCTCTGTCTCTTTCTCTCTATTCCCCCCTCCCTCTTCCTCCTCATTCTCTCTCTGTGTCTCTCTGTCTGTCTTTCTGTCTGCCTCTGTCTCTCTGTTTCTATCTCTCTCTCTCTGTCTCTGTCTCTGTCTCTGTCTCTCTCTCTCTCTCTCTCTCTCTCTCTCTCTCTCTCTCTCTCTCTCTCTCTCTCTCTCCCTCCCACTCTCTCCCGGCTCTATCCCTCCCTCCTCCTATGATTTACAAAGGCTATAGAACCAAGCATTAGAAGGACCAGTATTAAAAGTTGAGCATTAGAGGTGCTGGACCATGAAGTTGCTCCAACTCCATATGTATTTTCCATACTTTTTCACAGTTCCCAAGAAGCTCTGGGAAATAATTACCTACTTTCCTTCTATGACAATAATAATAAGAATCAGCATTTCCACATTACTTTAACCCCTAAAATACTATGTTGGTTTTTTTTTTAATATCAGATCCTTACAATGCGAGGGCTGATGGTACATACATATGCATTTATAGGCACAGATTTGAATGTGTGAGTCTCCCTGAATCAATCAATCAATCAACATTTATTAAGTGCTTTCAATGAGCCAGGTATTCTGCTAGGTGCTGGATCCCTCTACCAATCTGTGCAACTGTTTTGCAACTCAGTGCCTCGGTGAGTTGCCTGTGGCACTGACAGTTTAAGTGGCATGTCTAGATACGTAGTCTTTTAAAAGATAGGCTTATAAGATTTTAACTATTCTGACAGATGAATATATATATAATGTATACATCATGCTGAAATAGAAAGAGACAGACACAATGTGGGGGGAGAGCAGGAGGGGGGGGAGTCCTCAGCATGACAGTGTATAGAGAATTGTCTTTATAGTCATAAAGACCTAGTTTCATGTCCTGTGCTAGAACACATACATTATTTAGCCTGTCATTGGCCCCCCAGGCAGTTCTTCATGAACATAAGTTACCAAGCAGTTTGGGATCTACCTTGGTGGAAAAAGTATCCTCACACCAATGAAATCACAAGTCTGTGTTACAGTTTCTCCCTTCCCCTCTTCCTCCTCCCTGATTTTCTCTCCCCCCACCCCTGCCTTTTGTTTCTTCCTCCCTGCCTCTCACACATGCACAGATAAGACAGACATACCTATACATACATATGAAAGAAGTCTTCCATGCTTGGATATATGTCTACATATGTACATGTGTATCTCTGTATGTATATTCATTTCACCAGACCTGTGATTCATTGACATAGGACAGTGGAATGTCCTCTCACAGTGCACATTTATCCTTGCATTGCAGCTTGTTTATTGCTTCAGAGAGTTCTCTGGGGGTATTAAGAGATTAGGTAACTTGCCCATAGCTGCACAAACCAGTGTTCAAGACACTATTTTAACTTAAGTCTTTCTGATACCAACTTCAGAACCCCATCTAGTACCACCATGATGTTACTCAGGATAGCTAAACAAGGATGAGTTGAAACCTGGGAACAAAAGCAGTTAAGTGAATTCTTTTAACATCCAGATTTCTTCAGCAGTAGGTTGAAACTTGTTGAAGTTTCTTGACCCACAAGGTACA